TATATATACTAATACAGTATCATAATTTTATACATTTATACTTCTCAATCAAACAAAATTAAACTCACTCCATCTAGGAGGCACAATTTATATGGATAGTATTTATTTTTTTACAATAACAAGCTGGAATGAAAACAAGCAAAAATAAAATAAAAGTAACAACTTTCTACTTCTTGCCTTTTTTTAAAAAAATGTAAGGAGTAGAAAGTACAGATAATTGTGTGAAAATGTAAGAAGTAGAAGTAAAAAGTTGGCTGAAAAATAATTACTCAAGTGAAGTACAGGTACCCAGAAATTCTACTAAAGTACAGTAACACAGTATTTGTACTTAGTTACTTTACAACTCTGCAAGTATAAGTACTGTTTACATTTCTGGTATAAAATGCATTTTTTTTTCAAAGAATGCTAGTCCCTTAATTATTTTAGGAAGTTGTTCTTTAAAAAGTTATCCAGAAATAACTGAAAATGTTTTATTTATCCAGAAACACTACACACATTTTGTACAGGCTTTTTGCAGTTGTACAAATTTGCATGAAAAGTTTTGCATTTTTTTCCCTATAAAACTATCATGTTCACAGACATAAAAGATGGTTTCTTCTGCCAGGGGACACTGTTATTTTCACAGCACACAAACTCCTCTGGAGAAGAATAAAATTAAAAATATGCCTCAGCATAAAGATGGATTTAAAGAAAAACACCCCGAAGCTACAGCTCTTGCTGTCATGATTCRCTTTATAAAAGTGAGGTAAAAAAGCGAAAACGGCAGAAACAATTTTAGTTCACTTTTTCAGATTTTACAAACGAGTGTTTCTCCACAGCTGTATTTCCAGCTTCAGCATCCACAATGAGAATCATGGCGGTGAGTATAAAAGACGGCTGACGTGTAGATTAAAAAAAACATTTTCTCCCACTGTTCATGGAGGGTGGTGTTGAGCTATTTTCTGCTCTGTAGGTCAACAACAGAACAAACTGTCAGTTTAAGTGTGGAAAAAAAAATCTGGAGTCTAAAACAAACTTCATTTTTCTGCACTAACAATCGCTTCCACATTAACATAACAGAGAAACAGCGCAAACAAACAAGCAAACAACTAAGCAGCTTTGGTTGCAACATGAATTTAGACACGGATGCTGGGAGGGTGCGATCACATCTACATGAAAATACTTCACAATGCTTTGAAGTGACAAAGCAGAACAATGGAGCAAGCCAAAGGCCATCTGCTGCACGAGTGTATGAGTGTGTGTGTTCGTATAATTGAGAGTCCTAATGTATCATTTATGTGCAAATGTTCATATTTATGTCGGTTTGCGCATGGATGCATGTGAACAACAAAGAACTGCATGCCTGGGTGATAAAACTACATCAAAGTACCGGCCAGAAAAAYAAAAACCTGTCTCAGAAAAGTGTGTTAGAAGAAACCTTGAAGAAAATAGTGTCGATTCTTTAGGAGTCAGTAAAGCCTGAAGAGCAAAGTCACATRTTTTATATTGAACCTGTGTGATGGACTTTTTATTTCTTATGTCTTTTACAAAGTACTATATGAAACCTTATTCAAGGAATTACTTTATAAATCCGCTGTCCTAATAAAAAAGAAATGCAAAACAAACAAATCAATCAAAACAAAAAACACACATCTTTGGTATAATTTATCCWTTTTCATGTTCTTAGTTCTGCTTCTGCAATGACACAATTGATTTTCTACTTTTTCATACACAAAATATTTCTCATTTAAACCAAAGTGGTCCTCACACGAACAGGAAAACTCTAGCGAACATGAGTGTGTATTCATTTATTTCAGGCATTGTGTGAGCGTCATTCAAGGGGTCTCATTAATGCGACCATACTTTAGCCCCAAATAATTGTGACCATGGAAACTGACACTTTGCTTTGTCTGTGTGCAAATTTGAATGCTTGTGAACATGTGCAAAACTCATTTTTTTGTGCCTTAAATCACTTTTTTTTGCTGGTAAACAAGAAGTTTCTTACGGTTCCATCAGAGGCAGAGCAGGAGAAAAAAAACAATGACCGGATTGAAGAGGTGCAACTTCTGCATGATGGCTCTGTGTTCTTTGGTTTGTCTCACAGTTCTGGGGTCGGATTTATAAAACTGGCGTACGCACAATTTGAGCCCAGAAACGTGYGCACGCCACTTTTTATGCCAAGGTTGTGATTTAAAAAATCCAAACTTGACGTGAAAATGTGCGGTGCCTCACGCCAGCTTTGACCCATGCGTACGCTCATTTTGGAGACGTGAAACTGCGACACAGATGGTGAAGTGAGGA